TTATTGTTGTTGTTTGTTTATTTTTTGTTTTATATATATGCCTAGGCCTATGTAAATTTTATACATTTAATAATTTAATTTGAAATAATTATTTAAACTAATTGTTAAACAAATATAATATAATGTTAACAATAATATAAGCTAAGCTAGACCTAATCAATTATTGATATAATAAAGGCAAATATTTAGAACATCATTAATACAACACCTTCATGACAGTCCAGCCCTCCAAATCTTGTTTTAATACATAACTGAATTCACTTCAATGATATATTTTGATCTTCATTCATTATTATTATTATCATTTACTTTTTATTATTATTTATTTATTATTATTATTATCTGTATTATTATTATTATTAATATTATTATTATTATTATTATTATTATTATTATTATTATTATTATTATTATTATTGTCTTTGTTATTAACATTATCATTGTTTCTCTGGAAGGCATCTTGTACAGGAACATGTTCCTTTTTGCCTAACCAGTCTCATTACGTTTTGAGTGAAATAAAATTATGAATTATACCAATTTCATCTATCGATAAAAACATCGATTCGATTAATTAACAGCAGCTTTTCGCACTGTGGCAGTGCCGATAGAAAACAGCAACTTTTTGGCACTGCGGCAGTGCCGATAGAAAACGGCAGCTTTTTGGCACTGCGGCAGCGCCGATAGAAATCAGCAGCTTTTTTTGGCACTGCGGCAGTGCCAAATCGGCACTGCCGCAGTGCCGATAGCCAATACCAAACAAAATACAAGGTGTGTTCCCAATTTCTTGGACTCCAGCGCAGTGCTGGATTAAGCATCGTCTGGCCTCAAGGCACATTTTGGAAATGGCCCAAAAACTCTAACAGTAATACCGGAAAATAGAGTGTAAATAATATTGCAGTCCAACTTTTGATGGCCTATCATTTTCGCCTGGCCCACAAGGCTTTTGCCTTATTTGCCTAATGGTTAATCCGGCATTGCTCCAGCGAGATTAGTTTTTCTCTGCTTTCAGTATAGCCCAACAGGGGTGGCGCCATCACCTGCCCGACGGAGGGGCTAAAGGCCCCAACGGGGGGCTAGTGGAGCGAATCGAGTCTGACTTGGCTGGGGGCCAGGGGGCCAGGGGGGCCGCCTAGGGCCCCCGGTGGGGGTCCCTGGAAGCGACGGATATTTGATGAAATGGCGAATTTTTATTACTTATTTGATAGGCATCGAGTTACTATAATATGACTTCATGTAGGCTATGCTTTCTAATGTTGACATCAGCTTCCAAAACCAAAACATTTTGAATAAAGCAAGAAACAAAG